AACCATGTGCTTAGACATTGAAATGCCTCAGATCAGAGTTAAAGAATTTGAAAACCTTTCTTCATTACAAATGGCTTCAACTTCAACTTCCAATCCTGAGAACAAAATTGATATAATGGATTTTGAAGAAGTAGAGCAAGAACATGAGTACATTGAGGTCTTTGTTAGAATGAAGAGTACAAAGACCACGAGATGATTTCTTTATCAGCAGATGTGGTTGATGAAAGTTGTGACACTGTCCAACAATTGATCCTATTGAGATCCAAGGGCTATGTCACATAGAGAAATACAAAATATCTTGATCACTTGTATAGTATGTTGTGAACATATTATAACATGATCATGTCCCATTAATTGAACTCTCAACTAGTATGATGGCTTCTATACCGAACACTTGCACTAGATGGATGAATATGTGCAATTTAATCTATAATATGAGGTTCAAAGTCCAACTCATAAGGGAGAGGGTAGTCCAAACCGTACATGTATGTGGAAGTTCTTATTCTACGATTGATCTGATTTTGAAGATTTTGGCTATATTGTTGTCCAACAATAGAGCACAGAATATTACTTGAGCATTTATGAATTAAACAATAGCATTGCATTTTTGAAGTCATAACTTGTGAGCATGGAGGTGAAGGTCATCAAATATATCGAGAAAAGGGATGGGAGTTATTCTTACTTCGGTAGTCTTCATCTTCCATGATGCCATCTCTGTGATTAAGAGTAAATCAGAGATTCTTAATGTGAGTCTAGGGTGGGAGTCACTGAAGTTGTTTACCCAAAAGATGGTAGTCGACGACGAAAAAAGATCTCTAGGAAGCTGATAGTTAGAGGGAAGGCTAGGGTTTTAGTTTGGTAGACCTTACGCAAAGCATTAGGCAAGAACACAGGGAGGGATCATCGGAGATCCCCTATTTATAGGAATTCTTTGGGAAAAGAGGAAAACATTCCAATTTGGAAAAGTTTTTACAAACGGTGAATGAACATGTTAGGGTTTCATGAGGGATGTGGATCCAATGCATAACCATAAGGTGAGATTGCGAAGTGAGGTTAAGGAATGAGGTGACAAGGCATTCTAGGGAAAAGCGTTGCAAGGTGCATCCACAGGGCAAAGGCCATTGTGTTAAGTTGCAAGGTGTATTCGCAGGGCGAGGTTGTGATGCTACAATGGGAAGGAACCAAGATCCAATCTGGAATTGTAATGATCTTGTGGTGTGGGATGTGTTAAGGGTATTAATGTACTATTTTGAAATCTTTCTGTCATGAGACTTGTGAGGATGGTGAGCATGCTTTTGGGAAATAATTGTGTTGGGAACTTGATGTTGTTGTCTAAATGTTTGTTGCACCATTGCTATTCATCCGTTGGCTACCTGTGTAGCTCCAAGGTGTGCCACACACTACAAGTAGTGAGGTATCTAATTCCATATACTTACAACTGGAAAAAGTAGAGTGAAGTTGGGGGAAAGGGTGGGCCATAGTGTATAGCATCATACATTCATCGCCATAGTTTATGAAGTGGCATCCTAAAAAGAACTCATAAGTCACAACTCATCCTTATTGTGGTTTATTCTTGCCTAGAATAGGCCTTGAAGGTTTGAGTCGAGGCCTAGACCACATTATATGCTAGATGGATGGATTGGGCCTTCTAGATGGTGTTAGGTAGGGGTGCAACTTGGGCGAGCCCAACCTGAGCTTAGATCGACCTATTCCACAATTTTACATGGTCTTGACTTAAAATTTCAGTCCTCAAGCTAGGCCTGGGCCTAAAAGTTTAGGTTTTAATTTTTTTAGACTAGGCTTGGGCTTAGCCCTTAGGAAACCCAAACCCGACCTGACCTTATCCCATCCCAAGTCCGATTATATTCATGTACGTGTGCATATATATATATATATATATTTGCATGTTATATACACATTTTTTAATAAACTATACATATATGCATGTATGCATATATATGCACGGCTAATTGACCAACCTGAACCCGAGTCCAAACTAAGTGCATCAAATTTTAGTATAGGCTAGACTTGGGCCGGGCTCGGGTTTTAGGGCCTAGGAGTTATCACTCTAGTATTCAAAAATTTGCTCTAAAATCACAATTCACAAACACATTGTGAGAGCAGATTTGCTAACCACCAAATGTTGGTCAAGGCCACGTGCACATAACACCATAGTTGCACTTTGGGAACATCTCTCCCTGTAACAATTAAATAGTAAATGATGTTCCAAATGTGTGGTTGTAGATGAGTGTAAACAACGTTTTGGCATGGGTCTACAAATCTGGGATGGGCTCACACATTAATTGTATCTTGACAATTGACATCTCCTCTCCGAACACTGGTAAGGCTCGACGACTCGTTAGGGGTGAGCAAATGGGTAGGTTCCACCCGAAACCGATCTTGAACTGACCCTACCCAATTTATTACAAGGTAGGGTATAGTTCTAAATTCTTGGAACCTACCCCCACCTAGGCTGATTCTAGGGTCTAGGAATTTACCCTACCAAAATAACCCGATGAACCGGCCTTGGTGGAATTTGCCTTGGAACCAAATTTGCTTTGAAATAAATCCAGGAATACTTTTTGGGATGTGAAGATTTGAACCCAAGCACACATGGTTACAAAGGTCATGGTCTCACTTAACCATTGAGTTATTTTAAGTGATTTGATCATTTGTTCTCATGTTAATATTTGAACGTGTATAATAAATTATGTAAAAGGCAATATTTACAAAACTTAAATTTAAATTATGTTTTGAACCATATAATGATAGTTTACGTACTAACTTACTCAATTTAATCAATAAAGATAATATATAAGTTTTTAACTATATATACCATATTTATTGATTGGTAATGTCTCCTACTAGTCGTAGCGGAAAGTTGGGATCAAATCCCGCCTGCACTTGGATTAGGGGGATTATGGGTTGGGGGATGGGCTAACCCCCATCGTGGAGCCCTTCAAAACAAATAAAAAAAAATCAAGTTTTTAAAGGACATGTTTTTTTTTTTTCAAGGGGGAGAGTAAACAAAGAACATATTCCATGAGTAGACCCTGGAACTGACTCCGTAACCACCAAGGTCAGAACCGACCTTGGAACTGACTTTCATAGGATAAGTTCTGATTCCAAAAATCTGGAACTGACACCTATAGGGTAATCTAGGTTTTGCCATATAATTAAGGGTAAAATACAAAAACCTCCCCTAAAGTTTCTAACAATCATAAAAACCTTCCCTTTATTTTTGATAAAATTAACAAATACCTCCCTTCCGTCAATGACAAAGACGGAAAACATTAAAAGAGATGATCATTTTTTTAAAATACCTATTTTACCCTTTCTAAACACTGTTCATCTTCTTCCCCATTCGAACCGAGAAGCAGAGGCAGCACTGGGTCAATGAGAACATTCAAACTGTAATACAGGGATTGAAACTGTGTATTTTATTTTAATTAAACAAAGGTTAAGAATATTTTATTTTACTATTTTTTATGAGAAATTGAGAACAATTTTCTTGAAGTTGAAGGAAGAGCAACAGCTGTCAATAACAGATTTTCTGAGTTTAATGAATGAATTCGTTTGGTACCCAAAAAAGAATTTAGAATCTCATGTAAATTTACAGAATGTACAGCATGACTGTTTATTTATTTATTGAATTTAAAATTCATAATATTCACGAATGCCCAGAACCCCTCGACAACCTTTCGACCTTTCGAACGCCCAGAAGCACAGTTCAGGATCCCTTTCAGGAGATTGAGATCCAGGAAGCCCAAGTCCAAGCTTTGTGGCTTTCAGATTCAGGCTGCTTTTATTTTCTTCAGCTAAGCTAGAGATTGCAGAACTGTCCACCGAAGAACAGTTAGATAATCCCATGTAATTACACTCTTTCAATCCTGAGCCATTCTGGTAGATCAACAGAGGGCGATGAAACAATTGAGACATTGCTCTGTCCCTCCCCAACAACGAGCAGTGGTGGAGACATTAGGTTTCCAGAAACTTAAAAGTTTTCCTCCCAACCTGTTGGCATTTAAACCATCCTCCTTTAGATAAAACTTAAAATTCTCATAAAAGTTTCATTCCTGCTACTCGAGAAAGCCAAAAATCTAGTCATTTCAAAACTGAAAATGAGACCTAACATCAAGTCTAAAAATTAGATACTACGACTGCGGAGGACGATAAAAACCAATCATAGATGCTGAAATATCCCATTTATTTATAGGGCTGTCGAAAGGTCGCCGAGGGGTTCTGGGCGTTCGTGAATATTATGGATTTTAAATTTAATAAATAAATATACAGTCTTGCTGTACATTTTGTAAATTTACACAAGATTTGAAATTCTTTTTTGAGTACCAAACGAATTCATTCATTAAACTCAGAAAATCTGTTCTTGACAATTGTTGCTCTTCCTTCCAGAAACTGTTCTAAATTTCTTATAAAAAATAGTAAAATAAAATATTATTAACCTTTATTTAATTAATAGTAAAATACACGGTTTCAATCCCTGTATTACAGTTTGAATGTTCTCACTGACCCGCCGTTGCCTCTGCTTCTGGGTTCGAATGGGGAAGAAGATGAACTATGTTTACAAAGGATAAAATAGGTATTTTGAAAAATATCGTCCCTTTAACGTTTTCGGTCTTAGTCATTGACGAAAAGGAGGTATTTGTTAATTTTATCAAAAATAAAGGGGAGGTTTTTGTATTTTATCCTATAATTAAACAGAACCAGGATTGATCTACCCTTCAATTTTAAATGAATTGGGATTAGGTTTTAGATCCTCAAGCTAAGCCTTTGCCCAAAAGTGTGGACTTTTTAGATAGCCCGAACCGGGCCCTACCTTATTCTAACTCGAACTGGGCCCACCTAAGGCCCGGGCATTTTAGTGTTGGCTGATTGAGTGATTGACAAACCCCAGCCCAATCCAAGGCCTTCGTCACTCGTCAGTTGGTTGAACTTAAATCCGGCCCAGCCCGCCCGACTTGCACCCGATGCTAGAATAGCTGGTGTATACATGGATTACAATTACAAAATCAAACCCTTCAGTCCTCACTCACAAGCTCTTTCCCTCTGAGATAAAGTCCAACTCTGAAAGGGAGCTTCAGCTACGTGCTACCGAGCTTGAGCTCCCATCAAAAATACCGTTCGTAACAACATAATGTCTTTGATTCTGCGCGCCTTTCCCGTCGTTCTTCAACGCTCCAAGCCTTTCGCGTTCATATCATTGCCTTTTTACCGAAATCATCTGAAATTCAAGCTTATAAAACCGACCAAGAGAAGGATTTCCGTTATTTCTTCTGCTTCTCCTCCAGTCGAAACCCTTGTTTCTGATTCCAAACCAGTTTTACCCGTCAAGGATACTCTCGAATGGGTCAGCAGAACTGCATATTGTGGAGATTTATCTGTTGACGACGTGGGGAAACGCGTTCGGCTCTGTGGGTGGGTCGCGCTTCACAGAATTCATGGAGGCCTTACGTTTATAAATCTTAGAGACCATACCGGGATTATTCAGGTAGTTCTCTCATTCCTCCGGTTGCCTTTGGAGGCCTTATGTGCATCTCTCTTGTTTTTTTCCCCTCCCTTTTATGCATAATCTATGTTTTTTTTTTTTGCATTTATTTTCCTATTATATAGTTATCTGATAATCTGGCATTTGTGTTTTGCAGATTACGACACTTCCTAGTCAGTTCCCCGATTCTCATTCCATTATTAACAAGTTGGGTCTTGAGTATGTGATCGCTGTGGATGGTGTTGTTCGGTCTCGACCAAGCGAGTCTTTCAATAAGAAGATGAAAACTGGCATGATAGAGGTATTTTATCTTCATATTTGTTTCTATTACTACACCTTCCGGGCAAATAGTGCTTTTCTTTTTTTCAATTTTATACTTTAACAGTGACTAAGGAGAGGAGAATAGTGAAAAATGTGTTTTTTTTTTTTTTAGTTTCTTTTTTCATTGACTCTTTTTATTTCCCCATAAAATGCGTGGAAAACTTTTCAATCTGTAAAATTTTAGTAACACTCCTGCCTTTTCTATGGGCAAAGCTCTATTTATCCATCATTTTATATGGAAAAAAATCAGCATAAGATGAAATTATTGTTTCTGTAATTAATATGGGACTTACAATTTTCCCAGTTAAAAAGACAGTTTTCCAGCAAAAGGAAAAAAGGTTGTGTTTTTTATGTGAGTTTATGGATTGGACTCAAGTAGGACAGTTAAAATCTATATTAGTTGATACTTTTTAATTTGACATTTTTGCTTCTTCATTTGAATAATCGGTATTTAGACCATATTTCATTTTTAAAAACCAATTTAAATTGTAAAGAATGGTCCTATATTTATAGATCACACATGGAATACCTTACCTCCAATAAAACAAAATTACAAACGTACTACAACTCTGACTCTCTCTCTCTCCCCTGACCGACTCTCTTATGATTCTTAAAACCTTGTTAAAACTTAATTTTTTGACCCATTACAAATTTAGCAAAAACAGAACAATTTCTAAAATCAATGCTTATCAAGGTAAATCCCAGAATAAAGAATGATCTTAGAGACAAAGTTTATGGATTCAAATGCACTGCAATAACTTAAATGGAATCTTTCATGATAAAGTTTTCTCTTTAATATCAACATTCAAAAATGATATTAGAGACAAAGAAATACAACAATAAACCCATTATAACAGTTTGGGTGAACTTAAACTCTGACAGTGTCACTTGTCAGCCGGTGCTCTAAAATTTGAAAACATTTTGTACTTTGGTTACTTAACGTCATCCATTTAAGGTTTTCACTAACCATGTAGTTGAAAATCATGCCAGGTAGCAGCAGAGAATGTTCAAGTATTGAATTCTGTGAGATCTAAGCTGCCCTTTTTGGTTACTACTGTGGATGATGCAAAGGAATCTGTCAAAGAGGAGATTCGGTTGAGGTAACTCATTCAGATACACTTCTCAAAAGCATTTCTTCTATGTGTAGGCTGTAGTTAATGTCTAATTAAACATGAAACCTAGGAAAGAAACCACAGAAAAGGAAATAAAAAATTCTCATATTCTTGAACGAGTGGCATTTTTATAATATTTGGATGATTTGGACCTTAGTATTTTTGAGTTTTTAAATTTATTTTCTAGTTTGTTTGTGTCTTAGGAACAGTGTTAGGTAGCAATTTTCTATAAATTTACTTAGTAAAAACAAAATTGCTATATATAGTATTTTTTGGACTTTATATTTGCAGTATTCTCTGTACAATTATAGTAGATTTTGACTTATATTTTTAGTAATTTTTCTTCATATTGAGCTAGTTTTAGTAGAATTAGTAGTGTTGTCAGAGTTATTTTAGGAGCCTAAGTCTTATTTGAGTGCTTTTATGGGTTTGCCCCCTTTTTTTTTTCTTTTCTTTTTTGATGGATAACTTTTAAGAAATTCTATCAAGTTGTGGAGAAAGAATCATTATATACAAGGAGATTGGTGACTTGCACTTCCCATGCTATGCAAGTAGCAGATCCTACTATTCTTTTCCTTTGTTTACATTTCTTACCATGAATCCAATTAGATGGTTCCCCAGTACATTTGAACCCTGTTTACCCCTTATCTTTATAGGGTACCAGCCAAGCCATTTGCTGATCCCTGGGTCCATATAGATCTGGTTATTATCTCTCTTGCTAAACATCTTATTTCCCTTATATTGTGTCTATAGTACTATTATCCAGGCTATGCTTTAGCCATCTAGTAACAGTTTTTGTATGATTTGATGAATAGTGGTTTTTTGTTTTTTGGATGTACAAAGTTTATACTTGCCTTCTCCAGTGCCTTATTGGGCAAGGTCTGTCTATTTGTTTTGATTTTTAATGAAATGCTTTACCATTCTCTCTCAAAAAAAAAGTTTAGTTAAGAGGTTTCCCTAGCCTCAGTCCATGTAACAATGCCAGTAATTCTGATTTTACTGAGTTACCTTGGCCTATAGGACTGGAGTAGATGGCTAAAATTGCTCCTTCATGATTTCTGAAGACTCTCCCCGCATATGATGGTTCTAGGTTGCCCAAGCCATAGCCATCAAAGTTAACTTTTATTCAAAGTGGTGGAGACCAACAGCATAACAATGCATTGTTTGAGAGTCTGCAATCCGTTTCCATCCTCCAATTATGTCCTCCACAGGAAAATGCTTGAAAAGTGGAGTTACTTTGACCCAGTTGGCAACTGAGTATTATATTTTGACCAATGCTTCTTTTGAGTGCTTCTCATCCCTAAATGGTCAAGAAATTCTTTCTTCACAAATGGACCATAAAAGGGCAGCCGTAGTGCACTTCAACAATGCTTTGCCTCTCCTTTTCCTAGGGTTGAAGAAGCTACTTATGGGTTTGTCTTAGTTTTAGATATAGAATTTGTTTTGGATCAGTTTTTGAATCTAAATTGTAGTTTGTGAAGGGAGATCTGAGCCTTCATATTTAGAATCATTATAATTGAAAGTTTAGAGTACTCTTATCGTACAGTTACATTTCTATTTTTCTTAAATAAGTTTTCTCTACTTTCTACCATTGCCTACTGCCTACAGCTATAGTAGAAAATTAGAAATTATTTTTGCTTCAAAATTAGAAATTATTTTTGCTTCCTCTTCTAAGGGCGGCCCCTGCCAATGTGGGGTATGGGGAGGGACAGATATACACAGCCTTACCCCTGCAGACACTGAGAGGCTGTTTTCAAGTTTTGAACCCTGGTCACTCAGGTCACAATGAAGCAACCCAACTGTTGTACCAAGCCCACCCTCTCTTGCTTTCTCTTCTATTTTCTCTTATTTACTTGCTTGTTAATACTTGTGGTTGAAGCGTACTGCTGCTTGGAGTGACTTTCTGCTTCAATGTCTGACTTTGCCAATGAAATTTTGTACCAGCACTCTTGAAGTCTGTCTTTTGTTCTTGTTTTTAGTATTGCATAAAAAAAAGTAAAGCTTCTGTAAAAGCTTAATTTCCAAAAAAAAGTCTTGTTTAAATGTTTTTTTCTCTTTCTTTCCAGTTTGTGTCTATAGTCTGCAAACTTCTATTCATTGAACACATTTTGGCATCTGATCCTAGATATCGATACCTTGATTTACGCCGGCAGCAGATGTATTCCAATCTGATGTTGCGACATAAGGTGGTCAAACTCATCAGGCGATATCTAGAGGATGTATGTTGTTTTACAGAGGTATTATACATGCTTGACTTTAAGTAGTATATAGTATGGAAATGGAGACTGTATTATTGCATCTTCTAATGCAATATACTTGCTGTCTTCTTCCTGTGGCTTGTGACTGACTCCCTACTTCTTGTATACTTAGTTTTCATACTGACTCTTTCGTTGTTGTAAGGTAGATTGACACTCCACTACTCTCTAGATCTACTCCTGAAGGTGCTCGGGATTATCTTGTTCCTGCACGAGTTCAGGTATTTGAGTTATATACGCTTGTCATTTACTCTAGAATTTTGCCTTAATTTGTTTCTAGTATTTGGTGTAGTAGCAGCATCAACAAGCTTCCTAATCCTAGTTAAACTGTTTTTCTATACACATTGAAACTGGAGATTAGGGGCCATTGCTTGGTGCAATGGTAAAATTTCAAGTTGACAATCATGAGAACATGGTTTTGAATCTTAGAGTGGCCACTTTGTGGTAAAATACTGGAGGTTAGGTCCCAATCCAAATATATACATTTTCTTTTGCTTGCTGATACATTCTGTAAAATTTTTGCGTCAATGAAATTTTTATCACTTATAAATAAATATAAAGAGTACCAAATATGTAAATGGACCTAATGTAGGACATGTATAATGGTGCAATGAGTAGTGTTTGAATACTTGGGGTTGAGATGTTGGAGATTTCAGGTACAATGGTACTTCATTGAATAACCTTATTCAAGAGGAGGTTACATGGTGTGTATTGTATGCTATTGACATAACATTAAGTGATGAAATTAGAGTGGGATTAAGTACAAAATCAGATTTGTTGAATGTGGAGATATGCTTCATAGTCAAGAGGTTTTAAGATAATTGGTACTAAAACAGAATATATGCAATGTAAACTTGATAGTAATAGAAGCGGAAATCAATGTATGACTAGAATTAGAGACAAGGTTTTAAAACGCTGAAGGCAGAGGCAAGACGTAGGCCTCAAGGCGTTTTGAGGCATAAGCCTCAAAGTAAATAAAAAGTATTGCTAATTTGCTATATAAATTAAGCAATTAAAATGATCTTATAATATACTTGAGGGAAGCATATACAATTTTCTCATCATCAAAAATATGTTATTACATGTATTCTCCAAGAAAATGTCTCTACGATGGAATTGAATGAATCATCCATTTTTTGTTCAAATAATTTTTTATACATTTTTAGATACCAATTTGTTTAGCTTGCCTCCATAACCTGTATTGTTTTAGGAACAGTAGACCATCGTTTCAATCATAACAAGCTCAAATGCCTCATTAAATTATATAAATCCATGTTTGAGCCCCTGTTTTGTCTTATAGACAAAAATGGAGAAGCCCATGAATATCCAGTTAAAACAGGAAACCCAACTAAAGCCTACCTACCAAATTTCCTTACACAAATTCTATCACAGTACTGGAACACATCACTTGACAGAGTAACCTTCAACATCATTAAGGGGGTGAAGCCCCTGTTCTATTTTCCAAGCTAAAAAGATCGAAAGAAGATGATTGGAACTTAATCTATTTTGGAATCTGCAGAGAAGGGGGTGAAGCTCCCTTTTCTGTTTTCTAGTCTACAGAGATTCAGAGAAGTGGGATGGAAGCTCTTTATTCTATTTTGCATGCTCCCTATCAATTGCTTGCTATTGTCAAATGAAGACCAAGCTCTCTCTCTCTCTCTCTCTCTCTCTCTCTCTCTCTCTCTCTCGTTTCATGCCTCCTATTGAGCGAGGCTTAAGGCTTAAAGGCGTACACCATGTCAGAGTTGAGGCTAGAGAGGCAGGACGATATTGGTGCCACCTTGCCTTGAGGTGTACACCTCTTCGCCTTTTAAAATGTTGATTAGAGATCACAAGATAACTCAAGATGGCCTCTTTCCTTATTTTGATAATTACTAACAAGGGAGAGATTGAGAAAGATGTCTTTTCATAGAATTAGAGTGTGATGGGTGAATGGGAATATGTATCTTGACTTCTGTGTAATCAGAAAATACCAATTGGGCGAAAAGGAAAAATTTTATAATGGATACAAAACTAGCAATGTTGTATGGAATAGAGTTTGGGGTAGTCAAGAAGCAATATGTCCAAAAAATGGGTATAGTAGGGATGCAATGCAAATATTTAGATGGATTAGTGGAAAACCTAGAAAATATAGGATATTAGGATTAGAAATGAATTAAAGTAGTAAGCAATAATTTGAGGTCCCATAGAAATTGAAATGGCACTGATAGAGTGGAATGGTGGAACAGGATTAATGTAGTCCACCCCATATAGACACCCCAAATAGACAATGTTTTCCTGGATAGAACCATTCATAACATTTCTGTTCCACTTACCATCCAGACCAACCAACCCAAATTATTTATTGATTTTTCTTGGGTTCTCCACCGTCAATAAGCCAAAGACCAATAAACCAATTCTCATACCAGGAGCTGTTGTTGCAAACCTCACAATTCATTTGGTTTTGTCCAGCAGATATTCTTCAAATCAGTAATGTGTTTTCACGTAGTTGAGTCTATAGCTTTTCCCGTGCAAGGTAAAAATGTATCTTTCTTATTTGCAAGGTTAAAAGATTGAGAAATTGATGAGGGACTTTTTATGGGAGTCGGGAGAAGGGAAAAAACATTTAGTTAAATGGGAGGTTGTGTGTAAAAGTTTAGAAGGAGGCCTGGGTGTTGGAAACGTGGATAAAAAGAACTTGGCCTTGCTAGGAAAATGGTTGTGGAGATGGCCACGGGACTGGGATAGGCTATGGCATGAAGTAATAGCTGCTATACATGGTAGGTTGGGGAATGACTGGGATCCAGGTGTTTCTAACCAGGCTACCTTAGGCTCTGTTTGGTTTGTGGGATGGGAAAGGATGGGATGGGATGGGATGAGAAAGTGTGAAGTTTTCATTTTCCATCATTTGGTTTATGAGAAAATTATTGAGAGAAAACATGACATAAATCAGATTGAAAATAAAACTATTTAGCTCCAAAAATCAATTGTCCCTCTAAAAAGTTTCAAACTCTCATTGAATCCATAATTTTTCACATAACAACGGACCATTGCTATCCATGAAATAGCATTTGTGAGAAGGCACTTTAACCCACTTTGTCCTACAGTATCATGATTCATAAATTCTTTTTCTTCCTGTAGTGATTTCAAGTGCCCATAGGCTCCAAATTAGATGATAGGGATCATGACTGGTGACATGGGCTTGGATGAGACTGTTCCAAGCGAAGGTGTTTGACAGGGAGTTTGGTCGAACATATGGTGGGTGATTGCAATTTTTCAAGTTTAGAGGAGATTTAAAGCTGGGCTTCAACACTAATGGCTTGCCAAAGTTGGGATTCGTTTATTGGTTTCTGGGCTTTGAACATTGTATCTGTTACAATTGAAGGGCATCTATTTGTTCTATAGTTTGATAAATTCTGAAAATAATTAATTATCAGAATGAGTTGAGTGCATTTGGAAATAATTTATGAAAATCACAATTTTAATCGAAGGAACGATAATGGTGTTTGGAAACATTTGGTGGAAATCATTGTATTAGGATAACAGTAATATCCATGTAGTAGATAGGGGAGATAACATAGAATAAGAGATGGAGAGTTGAAGAGAAGAAAAGAGCTATGTTTTTTCAAGAAAAAATAGGTTATATCTCAATCGAAGTAAAATGGTAGAAGGAAATCAAACACTGAAGAGAGAGAGAGAGAGAGAGAGAGCATTGGCATTGGTTGTCGGAAACCATGGCAGCCAGGCCCATTGTGATTGCAGCATAGGAAGTGGAGAAGACAGACAACAAACTCTTTTAACAAGCAAGCCCGATACTCTTTCCCTTTATTTTCTCACCGGGGTTGCACTGTTTTGTGCGACCCCAAATCCTAATTTTTGAGAAAGTGCATCCCCCTATTTACCCATCCCATTTTCGTGTGTCTCACAAAACAAACGTGGGAAAGTGGAATATTTTAGGAATACTCCATCTTTCCCACCTCTTTCTAGCAAATCAAACAGAGCCTTAGCGTCCCTGTAGAAAGCTATTCATGGTATTCTGCCTCTTCTCCTCTGGTTTGTTAGGTATGATGCTTGTTCAGGGGAGTAGAAATCACTGTTTGTAAATCAGGATCATTTCCTTGTGAAGAGACAAAAAAAGAAGATGAAGAATTTCAACAGTAGAGAAGAAAAGAGAGGAAAGGAAGAGTGGGATGTTAACCAAAATTGAATTAGTTCTGACCGCCAACCCCTCATTATATTTTATACTTAAAAGAATGAAAGATTACAAGAATGCCCTTAATAGGGCATTCTACCCGGGTGTATAAGCTTCTAGTTTCAACTGTCCACGATCAACAAACAATATGCCTCTACCCGGGTGTCCCTTCAGATAAGCAAGAATCCTGTCAACAGCCTCCCAATGCTGGACTCGTGGAGCAGGCATGTATTGACTTACCACACTTACTACATAGGAAATGTCTGGTCTTGTCATACACAAGTATAGCAACTGCCCCATAAGTCTCTGATATCTCCCAATGTCCTTTACTGGCTCACCTTCTGATGCATTAATTCTGTGATTCTGATCAATAGGAGTACTGATTGCCTTTGTTCCAAGCTTCCCTGTTTCTTGAAGAAGATCCAAGACATACTTCCTCTGAGAGATAAAAATTCCATGTTTTGATCTTGCAACTTCAATGCCTAAGAAGTATCTAAGTTTTCCAAGATCCTTAATTTCAAATTCTTTGTGTAGATTCTTTTTCAAACAATCAATCTCACTTGGGTCATTCCCTGTGACAACAATATCATCCACATAAACAATTAGGACTGACACCAAGGATCCCCTTTGTTTCACAAACAAGGTATGATCGGATTGAGTCTGAGTGTAGCCAAAAGCAACAAAGGCCTTCTTGAACCTGTCAAACCATGCTCTGGGAGATTGTTTCAAGCCATAAAGTGTCTTCTTAAGCCTGCATACCTTTCCCTTTTCAGCATCACTGTAGAAGCCAGTAGGAAGATCCATATACACTTCCTCTTGCAGATCCCCATTTAGGAAAGCATTCTTCACATCAAGCTGAAACAGGGGCCAAGAGTATGTGGCAGCAAGAGAAAGAAGTATCCAAACAGAGTTCATCTTTGCAACAGGTGCAAATGTCTCTAAGTAATCAATGCCATAGGTCTGTGTGTACCCTTTTGCAACAAGTTTGGCCTTGTACCTTTCTATACTTCCATCTGCCTTATATTTTACTGTGTAAACCCATTTGCATCC